ATAAATGGAAAAAGTATTCCTGCTGACACCTCTTGTACATGCTTAGGGATTCTATCCCATTTCTATTGACACCACCTTTGAGTCCTATCGATTTCCTTGAAAAATCATTAATGTCGTCCCGTGGGCCTCACATGCCTACGTGTTGCCGCCCTTAGTAGATATGGTGATTCATCCTCTGCCCTATAGCGCATTATAGACGTTAAAAGTATAAGGATTCATCCACTTTAGATGATTGAAATCATTTGGTTTTCCAAAAGAATTACCGGATGTCATAAATTTCGTAAACAAGACCCTTTTTATTGAGAGTATTCTTGAGCATCCACAAGAAGTAATTAACCAAAAATATGTTCCTTTGGGAGTACCCTTGAACCAAGAACAAGCACAAAAACTTGAATCTCTGATTGTGGGTTGTTTTTATAGGATTTTCTATGCATATATGTTTCCAAGACATCTTCGTTCCAATCTCGTTTCGGATGTACGTTCTTGGGCTATCACACAAAGTTTACCTTATGAAAGTTTTTAACGCACTTTTTAATTGTTTGTCTACTTTTGTCATATTTTCTTTCTCTCCAGTTCCTCTCAAAAGAGATACTTATTTGGAAATAAAATTACATAAGGACAATAAGATAAGCTGGCAACTCCAAAAAACTCCCTATACCCCTGAGTTCATAAATTTATGTGTCAGTGATATGAATTTCAATAATGAATGATGTTTTTTATCATTCTACAATGATTGAGATCAAAATTATCCATAAATTATACTGAAATAAACAATTTTGTACAATATTACAAATAAAATAAATTTTCCCTTTTTAATTACTAAATTTTACCTTATCCTTAATATATAACAATAAAGAAAACATCATTTTTCTTCTTTAAATTCATTTAATTCGAGGCTGGTGAGCTAAAAAATAAGGTTTGACGCCACCATCTTAATTTATTTGTTGGGAAAATATAGTTTCAACCAAAAAATCCTGTATTTGAGGCAAGCATATGTGATGTATCTACGGACGTCTTGAGTTTTAGGCCAATCATTTATGAGTTTGCCATTAAGTTCCCAAAAAACAAAGAAGAAAACAAAATAGATGAGGCAGCAGAAGGTGATAAGAAGGATGAGGAACAAACTAGGTGCTAAATCAAAACTAAAATTAAAATATAGTTTAATATGCCCAATTCAATTCTAAATTTACAAACCAATCATACTTTCCTTCAAAGTCATTCCCAATAATCAATAAAACCAAACTAAGATATTAAAAGAAAAAAAATTGATTATCGACCGATTCTATTTGCCAAACGAAATATGTTAAATTCAACACGCAGGGAAGCTTAAACTCCTTCCACTAAAACCCTTCCTTCATCTTCACAATCACCGTCATCGCCTACCAGACAAATATGCTCCTCTCCGTCGTCTGATCCAGCTCCACCATCAGAATCATAATTTACCTCTCCTACATCTTCAGACTTATTGTGATCTCCCTTCAAATAAAAGTCTGATATCTCTTCTTTTTGCTTGTGATTTCCTTTAGTTTTGGTCAAGGCTTTGTTCACGGGATGGGCGTGACAGTTTCCGCATCTTGGCACTCTACAACGGCTAGTGTACTTGGACTTGTTAGTAGGCTTTGAAGGGGCTTTCGTAAATCGGCCCATGAACGATCCTTCAATTCGATTTAGCGACTTCCTTATTGTTCTTTCAGTATCGTCTGAACGTGAGGATGAGAGATCAAATTGGATTGAGACAATACCATGTTGGCGGCCCTCTCTTCTCATACTCTTAAGTTTGAGGGTTTGATTTGTTTGAATTGTTTGGTTCTTTCCAATGGCTTTAAATAAACTTTTTGTTTGCTCGAAATGGAAGAAATAGTGATCAGTTCATTAAAAAAATTATTTTGTTTTATATGCTTCTCTTAGTTTATCAATCATATTCTATTTTTTTAATGGTCAAAGCGCGTGGAGTGGTCAAACGGGAAGAGTGTGGAGACAACTGTATTTTGAAAGGGTTATGATACGTAGTGGTTAAGACTTTGTGTTTTATGGGTGTAAAATGAATTTTTATAAGTTATTTACATTTGGTATTTTTGAATTTTTCTCAAGTGAAAATATGAAATAAAATTCACATTTAGATGTAGCTTTTATTACAATAAAATTTTACGAATGAAAAGAACACGCAACAACAATAAATTTTTATTCTATAAAATGGAGATAAAAATGACACAAATAAATTAAAATAAATAATATAATTTTACACATCGTAAAATTTTATTTGGTGTAATATATACATATTTGATATGCCATCAACAATTTTTCAAGCGTTACATTAATGTCAAGATAATTATTTTTCAAAGAATATTCAAATTCATTGAAAATCATCCAAAACTCTAATTTCAGTAAACTTGCAGTGAAGCTGGTCAACTTAACGAGACAGACTCAAAGACACTATAATTGATCCAATTCGAATCAGATCAAGCCCGAATCAAGCAATTAAACTTCTTTTTGAAACTTTGGGTGGTTAATTGAAAGATCAAACATATTCCAAATATGATAAGCTTATAGTTAAATCGGGCGTCTCAACAAGAAGAATCCAACGAGCCTAAGATCATTCAATTCCAACATTGTTAAGGTACTCAAATATTCACAAAAGTCATCTAATTTAGGGAATCTATTCAGACAGTCTGATGGAGTAGTTTGATCCCTTTCTTATTTACGAAAACCTAGACTGTGAACCAGGAGATGGCTAGAACTCGGAGGAGAAAGAGTTGAGGTCCAGAGTTCAACACTGAAAGTCTCGTAAACGCCATTCGCTCCTGTAGTTAATGACCATCATCGATCGTCGCCCCCCGACTGCTATTGACCAGCATATGTCTCGTATGCTAGATGCAACGAAGCCTCTTAAGGATTCATGATGAATGTTGCGAAGTAACAATGCATCGTACGATGTAATGACCAGCCTTTTGAAGTAATAAAGCATCATATAGAGCAATGTACCCTGAAGATGATGTAAAAAGGCATCTAAAGATGCCGTAATAATGCCCCAAATACAGTGCAACATTTATCCCATGGACGGTGTAACAGTGCACCCCTAATACGGTGCAACGACACATCTCACATACAGTGCAATGATGCCTCCCAAAGTTGTTGTAACAATGCGCCCCATAGTAACTGCTTACAGTAATTGTACTTAGAGTATAAAGACTTTCTTCTGACTCCTAATGCTCTCTCTTTGCAGTCCATCAATATGACATACATGACCAACTATGGCATATGTAATCCACAGCTCATACAGTTTGTTAATCCGTCCTATGTGGCTTATGGACGCTATCACATCTCATGTAGCTCTCAACTCTAGCCTCTATGTCCTACATGCATTATCACAATTCATGTTACTCAAAACTTTCTCTTCTATGGCCTTCAGATTTTATCACAAGTCATGTAATTTCCAAATCCAACCTCTATAGCCTACGGACGTTGTCACAACTCATGAAATTTCTGACTCCAGCATCTGCATTCTAAAGACATTATTACCGCTCATGAAGCTACTAACTCCAACCTTTTTGGCCACAAACATTATAACAACTTATACAACTCCCAAGTTTGGCCTCTATGCCTAAATTTGTTAACACAACTCATGTAGGTCCTAAATCAATTTTCTGCGGCCTAAGGATAATGTCATAGCTCTTGCAGCTCCCAAGTCTAGTCTATACAATCAACGGACATTATCATAGTCCATTTAGCTCCAAACTTCGACTTTTATGGCCTACGAGCGTTTTTAGAGCTCATATTACTCGCAACTTCGTCCTCTGTGGCCTACAAGCATTATCAAAGCTTTTGCAACTCTCAACTCTAGCCTATGCTGCGAACGAATATTATTACTCCTCATGCAATTCCGAACTTTGGCCTATGCTGGCTAGGTACGTTATCACAGTTCATGCGACTCCTAACTCTAGTCTCTTTGACATACGAACATTAGTAGAACTCATGTGGCTCCCAACTTTGTCCTCTATGGAGTATGGGCATTCTCACAACTCATACAACTCCCAACTCTGACCTTTGTGACTTATGAATGATATCACATTTCATGAAGCTCTCAACTCTAGCCTCTAAGGCTTATTGACATTATTCTAGTTCCTCGTTATGGCATATGTGTCCAAGAATGGCCTACATGGCTCACAACTCATTGTTTTCGTTCAACTCTAGCCTTCAGTTTATCTTATCATCTTCATGTAATTCTCCTTCCAAATAAATCTCTATTTTGAATCATAAAGATGATTCAAATAAGAGAAGAACCTAAAAGTAAGAAAATATGGCGAAAATAAATAAACAATTTTAAAAAGAACGAGGAAAACTTTCATAATATAACATTCACATTAAAACTCAAGAGCATATGACCGAAAAAGATTAGATCAAAAATGCATTCGAAATATATCCACAAAGAGAACCTTACAAAATCAACCCACGATCAGAGATTCAAGTTTTTGTGTTTATTTTGGGTTCAAGAGCACTCCCCAAAGGAACGTTTTCCTTTAATTAATTACATCTTGGGGGATGTCCAAGAGTACTCTCGATTAAAATGGCTTTGCTTACTTAATTTACGATATATGTTTATTTAAGAAACCAAAAGGATTTAAATCATTTCAAGTGGGAAAATTCTGATGCTTTTGATACCTATATCAGGTCATAGGATAGAGGGTGAATCATTGTATCCACTACGGGCTATGGCACCAAGGCATGCAGTGCCCATAAAACAATATCAATAATTTTTCAAAGAGATTGACAGAGCTCAAAAGAGGTGTCAAAGAAAGGGGAGGAATCCTTAAATAGATAAAGGTAGTCAGGTCAGAATACCATGAACCGAGCTATGGAGACTATAAGTCTATCTGGTCGTGAAGGTAATCGACTAAGCCCGAATAGAGATCCCTTGTCAGCTATCCACGAATTGCATGATCTAAAGAGACCTCGATAGCCCTATGGTCAAAAGAAGGAAACTCTAGTTCCTATGACCCTCCAAGAGGTAGAATTTGCAGAAGGTGGGACTTATACCCATAAATTAAATAACAGAGATTGCCGCTAGAGTGCAGAAAGAAAAAGGGTTCATCTACAAAGCTAGAACCACCCCCGCTAAGGACTTATTCCCTGTATGGTTTGAGGATGCCTCTAACATCCTAGTTGTGTTATAGAATCTCCTATGTAGAAAACATATGTTTGGCTTGGACGATTGAAGAAGTACGGGTGCTCCTCCTTGAGACATGAAATATGATGCAGTAATATAACACATTCCTATGCGAGGAGGCCCTATTAAGAATGACTTGGGATATATCCATGCTATGCAACACATTTTAATACTGACCCAAAGGCCACGAAGAAAAGTAAAATGCAAAGGTTTTAAGTAGTTGAAGTATTTTAATCCTAAATTTTGATTGATCTTAAAATTTTATTAGAATTTTTATAGAAAATTTATAATATTATGGACTTTAAAGAGCTTAAATTATAGCGCAATGTTCCCAGATAAACCACAATAAAATAATGATGAAAAGGCAAGCACACTGTGCAAGGATAGTAAAGCAAGCCAAAACAAAATAATATTTGGGTAACATCAAGTTGACAACTTATTCCAGAAAAGCAAAATAGCGGCAAAGCTTCACATATGCATGTTTGGTCCTAATGTTATACATAAAAAAAATGAAGAATTAAGATACATGACATGAGCATTTGTTCCTAGTCCCCACCATGTGGTTCCACACCCTAAATGTATCAGAAAAATGCTCAGTTCTAATTCTATACATCAATATAAAATACAGAAATAAGATATGGGGCACGAGCATCTGCTCTTGGTTCCCTCCTCGTGGTTCCCACGCCATAACGCCTCGAAACTCATGCCTGTATCTTATTTTTGCTATATGACTCTCCTAGACTCTAAAAGTACATAGAGAAAAGAAAAAACTCAATCTTGCATGAAAACATGTGTCAACGGGAAGCTCACATGCAAATAATGTATCATGAGTCATACCTTAAAAGTGGGGAAGCTAAATATCACTTGCGAGAAAAATGGTCAGAAATCATTACTAGCCCCCCCATAGCGGTACCTGTGTGTGTGCATATAAATAGGGATGGCTCCCTGCAGAAAAACGCCCTAACACTCTACCACACAAGCACAATGCAAAAGAAAAATACCTGGATAGGGCAATCAATCCAGCAAAGAACAATAGTCAAGTATCAAAAAGACTACCTAGCACCCTAAATCCTAGCCTA